CCACCCGTCCCCAGAAGTGCCGAGCAGTGGTGTGCTGGCAAATGCTGGACAACCGGCTCTCTGGGGAGACTCGAAAGCCCTGGTCGGTAGCATTTGCCAATGTCTGTGGTGTAAATACCCTCGCTGGGGCCACTGTGACTTACTCTTGAATTAAGCAGATGAGAGAGAAAAGGGGGATTTAAGGATGCCGCCAAGGGCGCCCCTTGGTTCCATTGTCACACCCTTACCCATCATTACCAACAACTCGTCACCTTCAAAACCACTCAATCAGCAGACATGTCTTGATGATACAAGACAGCACCTCGGAGTAGGGGGGTGAGGGGGGTAGCCGTGGTGGGAACACGGTGACCACCCAGCGGGATAGCTCTGGGTGAACTGGAAATGCACAAGGCACTTTAACGGTTGTCATTAGCATTGTTTACTAGGACAGTGTCGCCTGTCTAGAAGGATGGTAGTTCAGGGGTGTTTCAAACCAAAAATCTTCATTTCTTCCCCAACCAAAAAAAACAAAAACAAAAAAGAAACCAGAATAACAGGGAAGGTAACAATAGGTCACTGTTGAAATGGAATAGCTGACATTCTAGGGACAAGCCACAGGTGAGGTAGGAGGAGAGGAGAGTTCCAGAGGCCCTGAGGGAGGGAGGGAGGGGCTGGGGCACAGACTTAGCTGCTTCTGTGCCCCCCTCACCCCAACGGCCCCCTCACCACCTCCATCCCGCCTTCTGGTTATGAGCAATCTTTTATTTTTTTGTTATAATCAATGTTTTGAAAATCAAAGCTGGAGTTTTGGCACATTCTGTGGGCAATAGTAAGAGCTTCTGCCTCATTTTTAAAGAATCTCAAACATCTACCTTACACACTGGAAAATCAAGAACCAAGATTTTACACATAGGTGAGTAAAAACAGAAACCCCTCGACTGCTGACTCCTAAGGTAAGGTGACTCCCAGGTCCCATGATGCCCCTTAAAAGCTACCCTGCTTGGACTGGGGGGGGGCGGGCAATGACAGATGCTAAGTGGATACTTCCTGTGTGATGAACGGCAGGGATATAAAGAATAAGACACTGGCCCTGTTCTTGCAGAAGAGACAGCCACCGAGCAGCCAATTATAACACAACGTGGTGAGTGTGTGTGGTAACGGCACAGTGAGGTACGTGTTGAGTTACACAGAGAGGTGGTTGTGAGCAGCGATGGCAGGGCGGGGTGTGTGGGGGAAGACTTCATGGAAGAGGTGACTCCTGACCAAACTTTTAAGGATGAAAGGAAATTGGCCAAATGAACAAGATAGGGAAGGGTGTTTCAGGTAGCAGGGAACAGACTATGCTAAGGCAAAACCGCATGTTTGGGAAGCACACGCTGTTTGCTGTTCCTTTGGAATGAGCAGCAAGGCAGGAAGCGGACTTGCAGAACTAGAGGGAGGGCAGACATGCCCAGGACTTTGAACTTGAACTTGAGGGCAATGACATAGCAGGATTATAAAGGGGGTGCACAGGGTGCCTGGGAGCACACCGATCAGATTGTGTTTCAGAAAGACCACACCTTGGTGGTGACATAGAAGGTCACCAGGTGAGGTTAAGACAGGAGGCCTGAAGCCAGTGAAGCTACTAGAAAAATCTAGGTAAGAGAAAAAGGGGAGATCAGCAGGGCTGAAGGAAACTGAGCTGGATATCCATGTCTGTTATTTTCTCCTTTCTCTTGTGGTTCTCAAGACAGGCTGATCTTTCACCCCAGAGGACAGCACCAACTTTAGTTCACACCTACAACTAAGCCAGACCGAGGGTAGTGAGGGGCTGGGGGTGGGGTGGGGTCCAAAGTTCCCCAAACACCCTTGCCCAGCCAGGCTTACTTCCAAGGGAAATCCCGAAAAGTGGTGGGATCTTAAAATGCACAGCCCGAGTCCTTCGCAGCAAAGTTGGCTCTCAGACCCTGTATTTCTGCTCAGAAGATGAAAAGTCCCCTTCCCCAGGTCACTGACGAGGTAGGAGAGTGTCTTTGGGGGCCCAGGCTGGTCCCCAGAGTCTGGGAGCCGGTCTCTGCCAGGAAGGAAAGAGTGGGGGGTTCCTGCAACTCCCTTGCCTGCAAGGAAACCTGCCTGCAGGAAGGCCCTGGACCAGAAAGTGGCAGACAGGGATCTGGGGCTCAGAAGGGAGAAAGGGGAGCAGAACTGTTTCCGGTGGGTTCCCTCTTAGTCCAGACAGTGGATCATTGCCTCCCCGTTTCATTATCATCTCAAAGGGGGGAGAAAGGGGCTGTGTGACCTGGCTTCGCCCCTTTAGCCACTTCTTCCTCTTGGGGACAGTCCCACAATGAAGGGGAGGCTGGGGACCGCCTGGGAAGGCAGCCAAGGCTCTGCCAAAGCCGCCCAGGGACAGTGGGGCTGGCCCGCCACCTGCTGGCCGCTCCTGGGAGCGGGGACAGGAATCTGCGGGGAAGAACCCGGATTCGGAGAGGCCAGCATCCATTTGGAGAAAGTTGGGAATGTACTGAGATTAAGAGGGGTCAGGAAGTTTGCAAAGGATGCAAAATGGAGTTCTGAATGAGCAGCTGATGGGTCTGAGGGCAGGAAGTTTCTGTCACAAACATTCGACGGATGCAGAGCCAACGTCCAGGCAAGTGGGTGAGTCTCAGCTTCTCTTTTTTAAGCACTGAGGGGCAAGAAAAGGACAGCTGCTCTCAAGACCTGATTAAAACACGGGCATGTGAACAGGACTGGAATACAATATGCGAAATCCCTTTAGCCAAAACCGTGTCCCCCACCTGTGCGCACAGCCTAAATTCACGCAGTGTCACGCCTGTGGGTTACAGAGGTTGAAGACCAGAGGCCATCACTGCATTTCAGCCACTGTGCCCATCCACTACACTACACAGCCTGTGGGCACCGGGGGCACAGAGATCAGTAAGACCCAGCTTTGTCACCCAGGAGCTAGCAGGGAAGAGTGACCAGCACAGCATCCCGGCTCACTGGGGGAAGCCTAATCCGCTCTGCCCAGTATGAGCATGAAGAGGTTAACAGCATGCCTACCTGGGGCTGCAGTCAAAGTCATTAATGTTGCACAGGTCGCAAGAGTTTGCGGTAATAATACGCACTTAAATAGCACTTAGCGTCCACCAGCACTTTTATGTGAACTCAGGATTGAATCCTACTGACATCTGTTACCTCTATAGGTGGGTATTAATATTATTATAGGTAGGTTTGTAGTAACTTACAAACGTCATACAGGCAGAATGGGGTGGAGACCGGATTTGAACCCAGAGCGCCCAGCTCTGAAGCCTGGGTTCTTAGCTGTTGCACCAGGCTGCCATTTACGAGCTCAACCTCCATGCAGGAAGCAACCTTCCTGACAAATAGGTTTTTAAGCACCTACCCATCACCCAGTCATGGCAAAGCCTGACTAAGCCAGAGGTGACACAGTCAGCAGAGGATACTCGAAATCGAGGCCAAGCACTGGGACAAAGAGAAACAGGGCTGCAAGGACCACGTAGGCATTCAATTACCCGGTGGGCTGCCAGCAGGTTTGCACAGGCGAGAGTCCCTGGAGGCAACTCCTCTGCAGAAATCGTCCCCTAAGCTCAGAGCCTCGAGGTGGTGCAGATACGCACATAGGCAGAGATGAGCAAGGCTCGGTGATGAGGGCCCTCCGGCAAGCAGCCCTCGGAAGACAATGCAGCCGGTCAGAAGAGGCCACGCGCATGGCCTCTGGATAAGATCAAGTGGTTTCTGGGCAGGAAGGTGGAGACCGACCTGAACCTGCTAAAGGTGCTTCAGTGGTGACTGCATATGTGTTATACACTCTACATATCTCCCACTCAGTCAGTCCCAACCGGAGTTAACTTCTCGAGGAGTGCAGGTGAGTGCACGCGTGCTTGTTAGACTAACAGCGCCCGGCGTGCTTAGTGAACTGGAGCATTCATTCATTCATTCATTCATTCATTCACTCAACACGCATTTACCAGGTGCCTGCTGTATGGCAGCCTGGGGAGACACGGGCATGCAACCTTGCTCTCAGCCCCCACAGCCACCCACCACCGGTCGCCTGTCAGAACTGCCCTGCTGGGGAGCTGCCGTGTCTCCACGTTTGGGCTCACCTCCCGGCCTGCAGATTCTGTGTCTCCAGCCGGACTCGTAACATTTATCACCTGTCTCTACCCAAAATGTGGAGGAGAGACCCACTCTCCACCTGCGCGAGGAGGGCCTGCTCACCACTTACCTGACCACCTACGGCTGTGTCCTGCACTCACCTAGTGCTCGGTAACTACCTATGGAACAACCCCAGCAATGACCTCGGCACACTTGTCTGGTCTCTGCCCCGCGGAGCTTACCATGAAAAGAGGCTGGAAGGCGTGTCGCTTTCACCCACCTTTGGCGTTAAAGGCCAGACTACCAACCAGCACATGTAAGAGCTGGGATGCAAACTCCGCCACTCTGCTCTCAGGGGTTTTAAACGACTGTGGACCTGTGTGGGTTTCCTTCAACCTCACAGAAACCTCAGTTAATGCGGGGAGGATTCCTGAGGCTGATTGATGGGTAAGCAACTATTTCAGATCCTAAAAGTTCTCTGTGTTTAGAGAGGTGAGATGGCACATACAGCACATACTGTGTATTGGATCGTGCTTCCAGGGGCTCTGGGCAGCACCCCACAGCAAGTGCAGGAAGATGCTTGCAGCAGGTCATATGAGCAAGCACAGCGAGCATATAATAAAGACTGTTACAGTCCCACTTTCCTTCAGGTCAGGCTCAGCTGTCCAATGGACTATAACATACTTTTTAGTGTTTAGAGCTTCTGGGATTTGCAGGTGAGGGACTGTGGACGTGTTTATGTAAAGCCCAGAGGAGAAGCAGGTGCCACACACCTGGCATGCTGTAAGCACATGGCAAATGTTCGTTTCCCTCCCTCCCTCCAGCCGTCTCTGCACCACCCAGCCTCGCAGAGCCCCACGAGAGTGATTTAAGCCCCATTTCCGTTCCTGCCGCCAGCTGGGAGGGCCCCCAGTCCCGCTCACCAGTCTGTGTGGGCATCGTCGATCACCAACAGGATCCTGGGCCTTTGCACAACCGGCGTGGAGGGCCCTGGAGGCTCCATCAGCCCCGCGGGGGCCTGCGAGGTGGGCTTCATGGCGCTGGAGAAGGAGCTGAAGAGGCTGGAGCCCGGCGACGAGAAGGAGGCTGCCAGGGGCTGCGGGTGCCTCCGCTCCGTGGCCGGGGACGCGGGCGAGCTGGTGGAGCTGTCCGGGCGCTGCAGGTCTGTCATGTAGCCGTTGGGCAGGTTGGCCACAAAGCTGCTGTCGGAGAGGCGCCGCCGGAGGAAATTCATGGCTGTGCACGCAGGAGGGGGCTTGTTCCCCTCGGATGGTCTAGGCGAGGCCGGGGACACAGGCTGCCAGGAGACGGAGTAGGGGGGCCTTGGACCAGGAGGCTGTGTGCACTGACCAGAGAGGGGCCCGGCGCCAGTGGGCTTCAGCCTCCTCTGCCACCTGTGGAAATAAGCCAGCGCACACGTGAGTGGAACCCACCTCCGGCCCTTAACAGCAAGCAGGTGTGGCCCCTTCCTGCGCCGCCGCTGGGGGGACATCCTTAAGGAAGGAAATTTGGCGACATGTAATGAGAGCACACCCTGTAACCCACGATTTCCACTTTCTAGAATTCCAGCCCAAGAACGGAACCCGAGCTCCAGATAAAGCCTCCTGCCCAAGCGCGTTTACCGCGGCCTGCTGTGCGCTGGCGACATCCCGGAGGGGACCTGGCCTTCAGGCCCCGGCGGCTGAGTGGAGAAGCCACCGCACAAGGGCTCCGTGACACCTCTCGTGGCTACGGAAAAGGGCAGCTTAAGGGGGGACCCTGGTAACAGAAAAGCTCATGTTGTAAATAAGATCATGGTCCAAGAGTATAGGTGCAGAGAGACTACAACCACCTGGACGGTCAAGTAGCAAAACGCTGGAAAGAAACCCCGCCGGATGCTAATGTTAAGGGCGGTTACCTTGGGTTAATGCGATCCCACGGCCTCCCCCCTCGTGTCCACTGGTGTAAGATTTATTACCCCTCAGAAAGCCCTCCTGGCCCCCCCGGTCAGTCCACACACCCTCACAGGACAACTCTCTTCTGATCCAGTCATCCGACCTCTCCTTGACCTCGCTGCAGTGTCACCGCCGGCCGTCACCGCTCTCCGGCCAAGGACACCTGAAAGGTTCCCATGTGGGGGTATTGCGAGTAGAATTGCTGTATGGGTTTTTGTGTGTGTGTTTTTTTTAAGTATTTTGGGGTGAAAAGAGAGGGAAAGAGACTTTTCTTTGGCAAAACACATACCTAGAAGTTAGTTTGCTGGGGCACAGGGTTGGCAACTGTTGAGCTTTATAAGAAACTGTCACAGAGCTCCCACCGGGAGCCGCAGCTGCTGTGTCCTCACCGCCCGTCGGTCGGTATTGGTCTTTTTCGTCTCAGCCATCCTGATGGGTGTAAAACGGTATCTCACTGGGCTTTCCGTTTATTTTCTCTGATGCCTACTGCGGCCAAGTGCCTTTTTCGGGTTTACTGGCCGCCGATGTGTCTTCTTTCGTGAGGTGTCTATTCAAGCCTTCGGCCCATTGTAAGCAGGTGGGCTGTTTACGTTTTTACCATTTATCTTTAGGAATTCTTTATAAGTTCTGGATATGAGTCTTTTGTCAGATATGTCTACTGTGAATATTTTCTTCGTCTTTGGCTTGCCGTTTCATTTCCTTCATGAGCAGAAGTTTAGCAGAATAATAAAATAACTCTTACAAAAAGCGAATCGTTACTTGAAATAAAAACATACCCAGGTCGTAGGTTCGGTCTCTGGAGAGGACACGTGGGGGAGGCAACTAATCGATATTTCACTCTCACTTTGTTTCTATCTCTCCTTTCCTCTCTCTAAAATCAATGAGGGCATATTCTCCGGTAAGGATTAAAAAAAATTTTTTTTTAAATAAAAGCATTAAAAAAAAAAAAAAAGATGAGACCATATTTCCATATCTTGGTTATTAGGAATATTTTCTATATTCACACAAATATATATATATGCATATGTATACATATTTATAACCACATACATAAAATCTGTTACATATATCTGCAGATATTTTGATAAACAAATTTTAAATTTTTATGAAGTCCAATTTACCAAATTATTTTTTATGGTTCCTCCTTTCTGTGTCTGCTCTTTAAAATCTTCGCCAACCCCAAGATGATGATGATGTTGTCCTAAAACTTCTTATAGAAGTATTACAGTTTTAGCTTTTCTGTTTATGTCTACAATCCATCCAAATTCAATTTTTGAGCAGGATGAGGTGAGGTTCATTTATCCAGTTTTCCAGCACTGCTTATGAAAATATTTTTCCCCAACGAATTTGGTGGCTTTGCTGGCACCAATGGACTGTACATACAGGGGTCTATTTGGGGCCCTTTATTATGATCTACTCACATGTATATCTTTACACCACCTTGACTACTATGGTTTTATAAAAGCCCCCAAATCAGGTACGGTGAGTCCTCCTACTTACATTTTCTTTCTCAAGATTATTTGGGGTATTCTAGTTCCTATGTTTGAGTGCATTTTAAAATCAACTTGTATGAAAAAGTCTGTTGGAGCACTGATTGAGATTACAAAAGATTTATACCTCAGTTTGGGTAGAACTGACTTCTCAACGATATTGAATGTTCCACTTCATGAACATGGTAGAGCTCCCTACTTATTAACTCTCCTTTAGTTTCAGAAATGTTTTGTGATTTTCAATATAGAGGTGTTACACATGTTTTGTTAAATTGACTCCCAATAATTTCTTGGGGGTGGGAATGATACTTTAAGACTGTTTTCTATTTCATTTTCCATTTGTTTGCTGCTAATAGCATACAGGGTGTCCCAAAAAATGTATACACACTGTAACAGCTGATAGCTCAATTTTGAAAATGTGTTTCAATAAACACTGCCTTTATCATTTATTCAAAGTGTGTATATACATTTTGTTGGGACACCCTACATATTTGCCAATTATTGTCACTATATTGACCTGATAAATTCAATTGTTTCTAGTCATTGTTTACAGGTTACTTAAGATTTTCTATTTAAACAGTCATGTCATCTACAAATAGAAACATCTGTATTTCTCGCTTTCCAATTTCAATGCCTTTTACGTCTTTCACTTTTCTTATTACAGTACTAGGACCTCCACTGCTGAATAGAAATGAGAGCAGACACCTTACCTTGGTCCAACCTTGGGGGAAAATGCTCGGTATCTCACATTACAGTAATAAGATATTAGCTGTGAGTTTTCTGTAAATGCAATTTATCACATTGAGAAGGTTTCCTCATAGTCTTAGCTGGCTGAGGGTTTTTCTCATGAATGGATGTTGGATTTGCCAAGTGATTTTCTAAACTGATTGAGAGGATTATGTTTTTAAAAATAATTTATTTGCTTAATGTGGTGAGTTACAGTGACTGATTTTCAGATGTGAAAACAAACTTGTGTCCCTGGAATAAATCCACTTGGTCACTGTGAATCCCCCCTTCTTACAGATTGCTGAATTCAGTCTGATGACACTAAGTTGAGGGGTTTTGTGTCTGTGTTCATGAGGAATATTGGTCTGGAATTTTCTTTTCTGGCAATGTCTTTGCCAGGTTTTGGTATCAGGGTAACGCTGACCTCACAAAGTATGTTGGGAAGGGTTCCCACCTTTTCTATTTTCTAAAAGAGTTTATGCGATATTGGCTTTTTTTTTTCTTAAATTATTGGCAGAAATGAACAGTGAAGCCATCTGGGGCTGGTTTTCTTCTTTGTTGGAAAGGTTTTAATAATAAACTAATGCCCTTTCATAAATCTATTTCTATTCTCTGTTTCTTGTTATTTCAATATTGGCAACATAAGCTTTCAAGCAACTTGTCCATTTCATCTCAGCTAGGTTTTATTGGCATAAAGTTGTTCATGGTGTTTCTCTATTATCCTTTCATTTTCTTTCTTTTTAAATTAAAAAAATATATATGTCTTTATTGATTTCAGAGAGAGGAAGGGAGGAGAGAGAGAGAAACATCAGTGATGAGAGTCATTGATCGGCTGCCTCCTGCTCGCCCCCTGCTGGGGATCGAGCCCCCAACCCGGGCATGTGCCCTGACCGGGAATCGAACCGCGATCTCCTGGATCCTAGGTCAATGTTCAACCACTGAGCCACGCTGGCCAGGCTATCCTTTCATTTTCTGTAGAATATGTTGTGATTTTCCCTGATATTCCTGATAATGCTCATTTGGCTTTTCTCTCTTTTTGAGCAATCTGGGTTGCTACAAATTTATAAATTTTATTAATCTCTTAGAAAACCAACTTTCTATTGTCTTCTGTTTCACTTATATCTGCTCTTTATTACCTCTTCCCTTCTCCTTACTTTGGGTTTAAGGATTTAACTGGTTCTTTTTTCTAGATGCTCGAAATGGAAATGGAAATCACCAATTTTAGACCTTTCGTCTTTTCTAATATGAACATCGAAAGCAATGCATTTCCCTCTATTTCGCCGCATCTCAGAAACCTGACAGGTATTTTCATTATCGTTCAGTTCAAATTATTCTTCATTTCTCTGTGATTCTTTCTTGACCCAGGTGTTACCTAAACATGCACTTAATTTTCAAATTCCAGTGCTCTCTCGGATATTTTATTGATCCATTTATGATGAATGAACACAGTCTATAAGATTCTAACCCTTCGACGTCTTCGACATTCATTGAGATTAATGTTACGGCTCAGTAAGCTCTGTCCTGATGAAGGTGCCACGTCGCTTGGGGAGAACATGTGTTTTGCAGTTGCTGGGTGTGATGTTCTCTAAATATCGGTTAGGTTGCTCCAGGTCGGGTTCCCAGCCGGCAGCTGCTCTGCCCTGGCCATTTGCAAGCAGGACGGTGACTGGCGAGCACGCCCACGATGAACTACTGCGGGCGAGTGTGCAAAGCAGAAACGGGCTGAAAGAAGGGGTGGAGCTACAGTAGTTTTAGGTGAGGCCTCGCTTGATCTTACTGGGAGCATGGAACTAGGGCACGTCTCCAGATTTCCTCATTTTCTGGCTCCTCTATTACGAGTTGTCAGACCCCTAATCCTGCCACGTGGGCTGGGGAGTGCTTTCCAGGAACAGCCACGCGAGCGTGGATCTCACTCGGCGCTTCCCTTCTTCCAAGGGACAAAGCCCCTCCTTAGTCTATCTGTGTTTTGTTTCTCTCCAGGATCCTCAAATAGTTTCTGTTAAACATTTTAGCCGAAGTTTAGAATGATCTGTGAGAGGGCTAGAACCGTGGAAGCTACTGAGTCAATAGTGGAACTGAATCTCTTTCATTTTCTTAAATACTAGATAAAGAAGTAACATGATGTTAGAGTTGGAGGGACCCGGGAGGCTGTTTAGCAGTCCCTTCAGGAGATCTGGTC